TTTAATAATAGTTTTGTTTTAATAATAGAAGAATTAAAAAATTAGAAAATTATTTATATATATAATTTTAAAAAGATTATAAAAAATCCATTTTTAAATGCTTTAAAATTATTCAATGTAGCATATGAGACATTTTATATTCTATTGAAATATATGGTAGAACTGTGAAAAAAAATATGAATAATATCGAGGTAATTTATGTATTTAAGTTAATAATACTTTATCTAGTGGAAATTACTGGAATGTAAAAGAAAATTATCATAAATTTTTTTATTGAAAAAAAATTTTAATCAAATATATTTTTATCTTATCTAATTATAAAACGAAAGAATCCATATTTTTTGTAAACAAAATTTAATTATTAATTTGAGATTGAATTTCGATGTACTTTCAAAACTTAAAGAGTTAGACTGCACAATATCATTTAAAAAAGGAACAAAACCTCAAACTGGTATACGAAAAGAGAATGCTTAGAACTATGATGCCGATAAAGGAATAGGATTAAAAGAATAGGGGATGAAGACGAGCAGAAAATCCAAGAGGAAGAGAAGAGATGAGATGGGAAGAAAAGAAAGAAAGTACGAAAAGGCGCGCGCGTATCTTACATTCAAAATAGCAGGGATAAGGCTAAGCTCAGGGATGTGACGAAGGCGGACAGTGGCAGGAGTGTCGAAGTGGTCCAAGTCGAAAGTCTACCGCTAGGGAAAATCCATGAGGTGGGGTACGTAGGTTGTAACATGCAAATTTGAACCTTAAGGGTTTTATGTCGCGGCGATATCTCTGAATCATCTCCCCTTCCTTCGGCCACCGCGTCGATGGTGGCCCTTAGAGGATTTCGACCGATTTTATCCCAAGTAGAATTGTCTGTCGCGTTTCGAGAAGAAGGGGGAGATCGTTTTCATCGGTCGATTCCTCTTTTGGATCGCGTCGTTAGCAGATGCTATCCACGGTTATCTTTCCGGTTGGTTTAAGGAGCTACGAAAGCTCGTTTCGATGATCGTCGATCACTGGTGAACTGTACGAGATTCGATAATAAAATTTGAAACTCTTTGAACTTATTCTTGTTATACTTATTATACTTATATATTATTATTCTATTATACTTATACTTATTTTTCTCCTTAATTTTATGAGTATTCCACCTATTGATATATATTTGACCAGTTTATGAACTGAAGTAGATTATGACTATTTTCATCATTTGTGGAACCAAAATTACAATCGTATTTTTCTTGATATTGATTAATATTAACTTATTACTAAAATGTCTTTTTTCTTGATTAGTAAAAAAATAATTGGTAATAATGCTTTACCTATGTTTCTAAAAAATTTTAAAAATGATTTTGGAAATAATCTTTAAAGTATTCTTGATATCATTGGTTTCATTAAAATTACAATGGAATTTTTGTTAGTAAAAAAAAAATAATTATATTGAAATATTATAATGACAATAAAAATAATGAAAATTGTTATAAAGATTCACAAAACTATTTTTAAAATATCGATAGCTTCCCAATAAAAATATTAATGTAAATGTGACCATAATGAAAATCAACAATGTATAATAATAAATAAAGTATTGGTGCATTCCTAATAAGCGTAATAATTTGAAGATGACTACAGTGACATCTAACAACAAATGAAATAATAATATTACTAGGAAAAATTCACGAATTTTATCGTGTGTCAGATCTCGTACATGTATCATCAAGAGAAAATCGCATATATTTGGAGGGTATTTAGTGATTTCAAAGTTTCACATGGATCGTTTCACGAGTTGTCGGAAATGCGTCGACGCGGTGTTATCGGGGACTTTTCGAAGTTGATTTTGGCAGTAGGAGAATGACGTAAAAATATTGGATTTGGTGGTTTGGGTTTCGTGGGTGCGTGTGGCGTGTTTATGAAAACGAAACATGGCGTATCCGATTCAATTTAGATCGTTATCTCGATCGGCGCATACCAATAAAAATGCGGCGTCCCATGAATTACGAGGCGACCGTATTAAAATGGTTCGCAATTCCATATCTGATTCTGGTTTCCGGTAGACGCTATATAACCGACTGGGTTAATTTTTTCATCGGGAAATCATTGTTTTCCCAACTCATTCGACGGGAAGTACGTAAAATAATAACACTAGCGATAATAATTGTGAGTGCATTGGTAATTATCATTGGCAAACTTTGTGTTCGCTAAAATGTTTGTTTAAAAAATTTTTTTCTAAAAAATTCAAAAACAGTATCAGACAATATCAGACAGTGAAAATAATAATGACGAATAATTGATTGACAATTATTGTAGATTAACATTATGCTGAAATGTTCATTTGTAAAGCATTCGAGAGAATAGATCATATCATAGATAAATATTTATGTACATATGTAGTTATAAAGATGATTTAATGAAACGAAAAATTTGACAAGACTTGTTCTGTTTACATGTCGAGTGAATTTTGCTCATTTGTTATACTTCATATACACTTCATAAGATCGTATAAAAATTTCAAATTAGAAATATACAATTTACAACAATAATTTTTCTTATGATTCAGAAACTGCAAATTATTAATTCTTTCAGATCATCTTTGCAATACAATGATATAAATCTCATCAGCCGAACGTATGGACAAAGCAAATTCAAAGATTGGATTAAAGTATCTTATAAATCGGTGTGGTTGATATGCGCGTCGAGGCAATGTAGGACCTAAGTAAGTAGTAGTTACCTAGGACGTAGATCGATCACGCGGATTTTAATATCTGGGGCCACATTGGCCAGGCATTCGGTAGTCACGAGGCGCTTCGCCCATTCATCATAGTAACGTAGTAGGTTAGAGCGCGGAGGGCGCGCGATTAGAATCAGTTACCCTTTACTTGCGCGCGGTGGTGATGGGTAACCCTTGATATCCTGGACAAGGATATCCCCTCGGGTGCCATCTGCCAAGGCCTGTTCCTTCTATCTTCTACCCCGTTTTCGACCCGCCATTTCACCGCGAAAGAGACCGTGCACTCCAAAAATTAATAACCCCTGTCCCTTGGCCCCCTGCGACCACCCATCCCTTACATCTTATTTTTCTACTTGATACATTCAACGATAATACCGATTTCACCGATAGTCGTTCACGAAGTGTTCTAATTACATGTGTCGTGACAAAATTAAAAAGTTGTCGTTTAGTTGATAATAACGAACGAAAAAAATTTTAATAGTCACTTCTAAATTAACAGGTGTTATTGAAAAATAATTATTTTTTGTCATACATGAAAAATGTATAACTTTGTTAAATTATTGATTTCTATAGTAAAAAAGAACAGATTTTAGGTATATGGATATTGTGACATATTGTCAATTGACATTGATTAGGTTAGGGAAGAGTCGTTTGATATTGATTAATATGTTTTATTTTTTGCATAAAATATTAACATTTTTTTTAATAGCAATTGAATATATTATTATAATTCAATTAATTATTATTATTTTCTTATTTATATTTTATCATTGCAAGATATGTTGCAATATTGAAAGTTCTACATGTATTTAAGTCAAATTAGAATTTTGTGGAAATCTAGAGAAATAATTTAATTTATTATTCATTTATTTCAGAGATTTCTTTGACGTTTCGAAATGGCGGATAGAATATTTTAATTATAGAAATAAGAGCTACTATATGGTAAGTAGATGTGTAGTTATATACATTAAGCTACGGACATTCATGCATATTTCATTGGCGGTAATCACCCACGAACTTACGATATTTACGAGCGTGTTGAGCATCGTGTTGTAAAATCTATTATTTAAGCTATCTATGGAGATAGAAAATCGAGCCGAAGCTGAACTCGAATTGGAAATTTAAAAGCAATGGCGGAATTAAATGAAATGGAAAGAAAAATCAAAAGGATTAAATTGAATGATTATTAATCAAGAAAAAAAAATATATATATATTTATATTAATTATAATCAATTCTCGCAGAAAACAAATACATATCACGCTTTCAAAAATTTATAAGGAAATTTTGTGTTCATAGAGAGTCACATTTCTATTCAGTGAAACATAATATTACGCAGAAAATGAATAAATAAAAAAAATAATATTATAAAAAAACAAATTGATACATATATCTTTTTTCCATTTTTTCCATTTTTTCCATTTTTTTATGACAGGTATCTTTTTTCCATTTGTCTTCTCAATTAAAATTATTTTAAGTCAAAAATAATTTCAGTTACAATTTTTGTGACAAAATTTATTATGTAATTTTAATAATGATAATATTTATATAATTCTAACAATGTTTTTTAAATCTATTAATATTCTTAATAATATCCATACAAAAAAATGAGAACATTAGCTGGAAAATTCGGATAATTAATTAAACCTGCAATACAAAAAAAAAAAATATACATAAACTGAAAAATTTCGATCGATTAAAACAACGATTTTTTACTTATATCGGAGAAAAAAATTGAAGAAAAGAGAGGGAAAGATGTAAAGTCGCATAGTCCTGTTGGCATTTTTCACAAACTACTCTTTTGTTCCTTATTTATTGCGACATGAATAAAACACGGGGGTAGTAAACGGGAGACCGAGGGAGAGGAGGCGTGGGAGGGAAGGATGGTGAATTAAATGCGGTATAATTTTCAAATTTTGGGAAATAAATAACGTGTAAGCGATAGGCTGACTCGCGTTGTCCCCCACCCTTCCTCGTCCCCCTCGAAAACGCGCATAAATTTTCGAGGACGATGCGGAACTTGAATCTGAAGGAAAATTCTCCCGGGAAGGGAGAGAATTGCTTTTGAAAGTATCCTATTATGTTCGCATTGTTGCGGTGGAATCAACCAACAAGTGTTTCCTGTCATATGGAGTTTGACACAGTGTGAACAATCTTGACGATTCGTCCATCGAATGTTTGTGATCAGTGATATATTCTTTGATAAAAAGATAGATTAGAAATTTATCTATTAATTAGGATAAAGAAAATTCAGCATCGTATTCGTACAAAAAAAAATTATTTCGTTTAACTTTCAATTGATGAAGTTGAGATTAGGTTACATTAGGTTAGATTAGGTTAAGTTAATAAAAAAGTATTCTATTACGTTTGCATTGTTGCGGTGAAATCGACCAGCAAGTGCTTCCTGTGGAAAGAATTGATACAGTGTGAACAATTTTCACGATTTATCCATTGAATATTTGTTTTATTTGATCAATAATGTGTTCTTTAATAAAAAGATAGAAATCTATCTACTAATTAGGTTGAAAAATATTTAACATCATATTCATAGAAAAAATTGATGAAATGAAAATCAGGTTAGGTTAAATTATTATAAATATATTTTTTTATATAAATTTTGTATTTCTGCAGAAGAATTATATTTTTCACAAGTTGATTTTGATTTTTATATAAAGTTATAATCTTAGCTGTTATTTTTCCATCGAAAAATATGAATTTCTATTTACACATTGACACACGACAAGAAAAAGATAAAAATTCGTCAAATCATTTTTATTTCCAAGATTGCTTGATTGCACAATATACCAAATCCTAATATTTCATTCTATTTACCAATTAAATCATAACCAACTAAGAAAAATTTCTTTCTCTCATAAAAAAGCATGAAATGGAGAAAGAGAGGAAGGAAAGAAACGAGTAATTAACGAACCGAGACGAGAATCGGGCAAGAGGTACAACGAAAAAGAAACAGAAAAAAGAGATCGGTACAAACGTTTCCACCGAGTTTCTTTAATTGGTGACATTAATCACACGTAATTACCGTGAATCTTGTAACAGTGCTAACGGCTGGTACGTAAGCGTCTCCACAGCCGAGTTTACCGCAATTCTTTGACCGCAAAGGCGTAGCGATCGTCGAAAAACGGTCGTTCGTGGTCGACTGTACACATTTCGTTCACGTTCTTACGCTGCTGAGGATTAACCCCGTGGAGCAGTAACCGGCATCCGCGGCTGCAATTAGTACGATACCGCATGGAGTGGTTACCGACACTCCCATCCAAAAGGGTCCAACCACAGCTACCAACATTTTGATCGGCCGAGTTAACGAACGGTTAACTGCCTGTCTTTTTACGCGGCACGCATCTCCTAACCTCCTTGATCGTTTCGTTTTTTTCTTTTCTTTCTTGTGAAATATAATATAATATATCGTGTTAATAGAATTGCGAATATTTGTGGAAATTTATTTTCGTGGAATTTGAAATATTTGTAAAAAGAGATTTGGAAGAAGATGCAAAATATTGAAAGTTATTTATTAAGTGTAATATTCGAAAAGTGAATTTTTATTTAATAGAAATAAAACTTAAATATTCGATTAAAATTACGAGTGTTTATGCGTTTATTTTTATTTTCACGAAATCTGAATGTAGGAAATGAAAATTTATAAAATATATATGATTTGGAAAAAGAGACAAAGTGTTAAAAGTATAGTATTTTGCGTGATTGTTTGAATAAAGCAAATTTTTATTTTAACTCTTTCGAGAATTTTTTTCAACTATAAATTTAATACTATAGTATTATAACTTATTGTAAATTAAAGAAAATAGAATCTATTTTTAAAATTCGATCTCATTTGCAACAAATTTCATATTCATCTTTTCTTTTAATTTTTAATCTTTAATTTTTCTATCTTTTTAGGTATATAAAGTAAATATAAATATAAATACAAATATGGCTCACGAGTGAAGTTTGCAAAATTTCGTTTAGAGAATACGATTTCATGAAAGAATGTATGTGGTAATCTAATTCGCAATCGAAAAAGAAAGAAAGAGCCGGAAAGCGGATGACTTTGTCGCAGCGACGAAATCAAGTCTATGGTAGAAGGGTTGGCATTAACGAGACCGGCACGCATTAGCTTTGCCCTGCAATATTAAACAGAGCACGAGTGTTTTCCACCAAACTTGGCCAGGACCGTACCAGCTATCGATTTTAACCCGTAGAATGGACGAGGTCATCTCTCTATGCTCGTTTTCGTTTCTCTAGTTTCGTCTAGTTTTGACGCGAGCTTTTTTTTTTCTTATCTACGTCTTTCCTCGATTTTTCTTTTTATATTCGTTGGTGAAGCATCTCGAAAATTGAAATTTTCGTCTTCATCGTTATATTTAAGGATACTAATATATTTGAAAGTAAAACACTGTGATAATTTTCATTTCTAATCTATTAATACAAAATAACTCTTAATGATAATTTTTGAAAGTTTTACTATTATCGATTGGAAAATAGAGATGCTTAGCATATACGAATATATTTGAGACTAAAAATTTCAAGAATCATCTATCGTAATCATTTACAAGGATAAATATTCTCGAAAATTTTTATTTCTTAAAAATCTATTCTTACTCGTTAAATTTATCTCCTCATCGAGAATGTTTTTCTTTCTTCGTTCTCATTGTTACATTTGGCAAATTTTCAGTCGCTTATGAAGCTTTAACGGATTGCGCGGTCTGCACGCCGGCTTGGGTCACGACGGGAGTAGAAGATGAAATATTCAAGTGCTTTCCATTAACGGGACCGGTTTATACTTATCAAGGCTAAAGTCAAAGGGGTGGTTCGGCCAGTCACGCTTCGGTAGAAAATAAAGGGTAGCTGGTTTCTGCCTTTGCAGCATCGGACAGCCCCGAACAGACAGAAGGTGGACAAAAAGTGTCAATCGTGTCGACGGATTGGTCAATGGCCTACGATTATTTCATGTCTCTATTATATCTTTCAAAATAAGTATATCGCCACCATTTTTTTAATTTCCTTTTTCAACAACATTTCTATCAATTTTTTATTCTATTTCTATCATAATTAAAATCATAATTTAAATCATAATTCTTTCAACAATAAATAATAAAATTATCGTATAACAAAATTAATATAAGAAATAAAAAAAAATATTTCGACATTTCAGATAGAATTATATTAATTAAAGAGAGTGGAATGAAGAGCGGAAAAGAAATGAACCGAAGTTGGCTGTGATGGATTACGGATAACGGTTGATGGACAATGGACCCAGGAGAACAGGTCGGTAGAAATAAGCGGAAGAGAGCGGGTTGGTACAGCTCCCGTATGGGGCGTAATAGTTTAATTCATATGTAAATGGAGTGGCGAAGCACGGGAGAAAAGTCGCAGGACTACGTGGAAATGGCGTGTAAGTGATTCGTACACATGTATGGCTGACCTCGTAAATCTGGAACGGGATACCCTACGTAATTAGAATTACACCCTCGACTAACGACTATCACGCGCCATAACGACTCTCTTTCCTTTCCAATAGCCACGTCCTTTATCCGTCTTCGTCCATTCTTTTTTGATATATCTCTGAGGTATGTACACACCATATAACTCTTATTACTACTATTATTTTAAATTTTAAACTTTTGACAATTAAAATTATAAATAATATATATTTTTTTTTTTTTTTT